GCCACTGATAACACCAGTAGAAGCAAAGAAGTCCACAAAGGAATTCAGAATGTACAGTTAAATTGATCTGTTAATTAAAGGACAGTTCAAGGAGTGAAATCAAAGAAAAAATACAGGAAGTGAAAGATCACTTCAATAAAGAATAGAGATTGTGGGGAAAAAAACAAGCAGAAATCTTCGAAATGAAGGAATCAATAAACCAAATTACAAATTCAATAGAAAGCATCACCAAAGAGTAGACCACTTGGAATACAGAACCTCAGACTATGAAGACAAATATATAATCTTGAAAATAGAGTTGACCATGCAGAGAAGATTATAAGAAACCATGAACAGAACATCCAAAAATAGTGGGATAACATGAAAAGACCAAATTTAAGAGTTATTGGAATAGATAAAGGGGCAGAGATGCAAACCAAAGGAATGCACAATCTTTTCAATGATATAATTGCAGAAAATTTCCCAAACCTAAGGAATGGAATGGAAAAATCAAATATAAGAGGCTTACAGGACCCCAAATGTACAAAATGACAGCAGACCCATACCAAGACTCATTATAATGAGAATGACTAACACAGAGAATAAAGATAAAATCTGAAAGGCTGTAAGAGAAAAATATAAAATTAAAATTTCTTATAGGGGAAATTCAATTCAGATCTCAATGGATTTCTAAACCCAGACTCTCAAAGCTAGGAGATACTGGAATAATATATTTCAAACTCTGAAAGAAAATGGATGCCAACTAAGAATTTTATATCCAGAAAAATTAAGTTTCAGATTTGGAGATTAAATTAAAACCTTCCATGATAAACAAAAATTAAAAGAATTCACAACCAGAAATCCTGCACTACAAAACATCCTCAACAAAATACTCCATGAGGATGAAGTGAAAAAAAAAAAAAAGTGAAAACCAGAGAAGTGAGAATCTACATTAAAAGAATATTCAACCAAAGGAGAAACTAAGTTAAATTGAAAACCAGAAATAAGTCAAAATGACAGGGAATACAAATCATATCTCAATAATAACCTTGAATGTTAATGACCTAAACTCATCAATCAAAAGACATACTGGTAGATGGGATTAAAAAGCAAGGCCCAACAATATGTTGTCATCAAGAGACCCACTCCATGGGCAAAGACATCCACAGGCTAAAGGTGAAAGGATGGGAAAAACATATCACTCACATGGACTGTCTAATCAAGCAGGGGTTTCCATCCTCATTTCAGATAAAGCAGGCTTCAAGCCAAAGTTGATCAGAAGAGACAAAGAAGAACATTTCATACTTAAGGGAACCATACAGCAACAAGACATAACAACTATAAATATTTATGCCTGACACAACAGAGCATCTGCACACATCAAACAAACCCTTCTCAATTTTAAGAATCAAATAGACCACAACACAATAATACCAAGTGGCTTTTACAACCCTCTCTCACTGAGGGACAGATCTTCCAAACAAAAACTAAATAAAGAAACTATACAACTAAATAATCAATAATTTAGACTTAACAGACATATATAGAATATTTCATACATCAATAAGTGAATATACTTTCTTCTCAGCAGCACATGACTCCTTCTCTAAAATATAGACCATATCATAAGCCACAAAGCAACTCTTAGTAAATACAAAAAAAAAAAAAAACAGAGAGAATAACCTGCATTCTATCAGATCACAATGGAATGAAATTAGAAATCAACAATAAAGTAAAAAGTACACTACTGAATGATGAATGGATAGTAGAAGAAATCAAGGATAAAATAAAAAATTCTTAGAGGGAAATGAGGCCTAGGATCTGACTTCCTTAAGAAGATCCTTAAAGTACAAGAAGTAAAATCAAGGATCAATAAATGGGATGGATTCAAATTAAAAAGCTTCTTCTCAGCAAAAGAAATAATCAGTAATGTGAGGAGAGAGCCTACAGATTGGCAGAAAATCTTTACCACATGCACCTCTGATAAACCATTAATCTCTAGGATATATAAAGAACCCAAAAAACTTAACACCAAAAAAACAACTAACCCAATCAATAAATGGGCTAAGGAACTGGACACTTCACCAAAGAAGAAATATAACCAATCAACAAATATATGAAAAAGTGTTTAACATCTCTGGCAATTAGAGAAATGCAAATCAAAACTACACTAAGATTTTATCTCACTCCTATCAGAATGGCAATCATTAAGAATATAGGCAACAATAAATGTTAGCAAGAATGTGGGGAAAAAGGTAGACTCATACATTGCTGATGGGACTGCAAATTGGTGCAACCACTATGGAAAGCAGTATGGAGATTCCTCAGAAAACTGGAATGGAATCACCATTTGACCCAGCTATCCCCCCCTCAGTGGATATTCAAAGGACTTAAAAATCAGCATGCTACAGTAATGCAGCTACGTCAATATTTATAGTAGCTCAATTCACAATAGCTAAACTATGGAATCAACCTAGGTGTCCTTCAATAGATGAATGGATGAAGAAAATGTGGTACATATATTCAATGGAATATTACTCAACTTTAAAGAAGAATGTAATTATGGCATTTTCCAGTAAATGGATGGAGCTGGAGAATATCATGCTAAGTGAATAAGCCAATCCAAAAAAACCAAAGGCCCAATGTTTTCTCTAATATGCAGATACTAATTCACAATAAGGGGGGGTGGACACTAGAGAAGAATAGATACCTTAGATTAGATAGAGGGAAGTGAAGGGAGGGGAGAGGAGGGAATGTGGGGATAGGAAAGACAAGAGAACGAAACAGACATTATTACTTTATGTATATATGTGACTGCATGACCATTGTTTCTACAACATGTATACTCAGAAAAATGAGAATTATATCCCACTATATATGATATATCAAAATGCACAAATGCATTTTATTGTCATGTATAAATAATTAAATAAAAAGGGAAAAAAATAAAATCAGACTTCTTCAGAAAAAATTCACAAATAAAATGCACATTTGAATATAAAAAATTGAGATCTTATTTATGTTGCATTAATTTTCCTTACCTAAAGAAATGTGCTTGTATATAAGTATATACACACATATATACACACATGAAATACACACTTATTTGCATATATATATGTATATATATATATATATATATATATATATATACACACACACACACACATCTAAGAAATATTAGTGTAATAAGGTTTGTGTGTATGAATAAACATATTCATGTGTATATGTAAATACATAAATACATACACATATCCATACCTCTCCCTAGGTAAGAAAAATGAGTGTAACAAGTTGCATGTGTATGTGTATATGCACGTATGTATGTTAATATATAAATATATACACATACACATACTACTCCATAGATACGAAAAATGGGTACAATTTGAGATTCCAGGACTTTTTCATGGATTATCAGACATTTGTATTGCTATCACTTCCTTTAAAAAATGCTATCAACTTTGCTTTTGCTGATATTGGGATGCTACATCATAGAGGAAAGAGTATGAAAGCTAAAAAAAAAAAAAAAAAAATCCAGCTAGTGTTGTCATCCTGGCTTCCCTATTCCAGTTAGGGAAAATATCCTCACAGAATCTCACTGTTCTTCTTGGAAAAATAATAATAAATTCACCAACTTGACATATTTGCTCTGACAATTAAAGAAAATGAAAAAGGTTCCACCCAGTCTGCTACCTGGCACATGTGGTAAGTTCTTCATAAATGTGTTAGTCATCATAGATGTTAGTTCCATATAATTATACTCCTCAAAATCTATAAATTATTTAAGTATTGCCTAAATAATTAATAAACTATTAATTATGCAACAAGATTTTAAGGTTTATATCTTTTCAACCAACATTTCTACTTGTAGGAAACTAGCCAGAGGAAAGGATTAGAAAGAGCAAATATTTATGTACAAATACATTCTATAAAATTTTATTTTTAATATTAAAAAAGTAGGAACAACCTAAGTATTCAAATAGTATACTGCATCCATATTTATATTTAATTATTTATATTAAATAAACAATTAAAATATTCATAAAGACTTAAGGTAAAAAATGCCCACAAAAATTAAAGCAACAGCCTATCAATCTACATTTCAACCATATTAACAATTACATTCATGTGTCTCGGTGTACCCCTGTATACACACACACAATACAAAAGAAAAGGATTTGAAGGAAATGCATTAAAATACTAATAATGACCACCTATAGATGACAGAAAAGTTAAATTTTATTTATTTTTATTTTTTATTTTCCACTTTTTAAATTACATAAATCACTTTGATGCTTAGAAAACAAAATGGAAAAAAATCATAAAATTCTGTATGTTATTTACATACTCTAATTTAATAAGGATGATTTTTTTTTAATTATTCCCCATCTCACTTCCAAAAAAAAAAAAATCTGGGATAGCTGATAGAAACACATACAACAGATTAAAATAAACAGATGAAGGAATTGAGATTAAAAGAAAAGAACCTTTCCAATTTTCACAGCATATACACATATATGTACATATATATACATGGGTGCACACACACACACTACAGACACACATATTTCTCAAGAAGATTTTTTAGATACTGAGAAGTGAAGGCAGTTTCTCCACCTGTCTTAGGAAGAGTATGATACAGGTATGGTAGACATTGTTTTAAATTAAACATTAGGAGTGCTATTTAAGTAAATTCTGTGAATCACAGTTAAGTGATTGGAAAGACAGAAGGAAAATTAAGTCAAGGAATCAAGACCTATTAACAGGAGTGAGCAGGACCATGATCAGCAACTCAAGAAACACCTTCTAAAAATGTACAAAGATAAAGACAGATTTGGACAGATTTCCCCTTATAACCTGTCATCACTACTTACATACCTTCAAAGAAAAAGTAAATTGAAATATTAAAATGATACTTTAATTTCATCACATAAAATACGGGAAGAAAAAATATTAGTGAAACAAACTGTTCTATTACCAAAATATACTGGAGCTACTGTATTCAACGGAACACTTACCTTCACTGACAGCATGGGGCTTAATGATGCAACAGGTACAACTGGTAAACTTTGCAGTGTTTGCTGGCCCACAACCTCCACTTGAAGGGAAAAATAACTCCATTTCCTAAAGACAGAGAAAAGACTGTGACCCACAGGACCTCTTCTCTCTAACTTACAGGATATTTCTGGGTGGGGGTAGATTATGCAATTACTTTCAAAGTTTCATAATATAAATTTTTTGTTTCCAAGTTTCTAAATGTGAGTTTTATAAACAGTAACTGATTAACTTAACCCTGTTCAAAGCTTATTATCAAAAGAACATATGAAGAAGTAGTAAAGCATAGATTAGGGATCATTCTGTTTCTGATTATAACTGACAAGGTCTTAAATTTTGGATATTGCAAGTAATAATTGTGAAGTTCTTATTTTCCCAAAAGCATAGTTCATAAGACACAGATCTAATTTTAATTTTCATTAAAATATGTAAAATAAAATTAAAAACAAAGAAATCTTTATAGAAATAAAGATTAACATTCAGGAGTCTGAGAACTACAGTTGGTTAAAACTAATTTAGGATAGTTCTAGCATAAGTCAAATGAAGTGAACCATGTTTTAAAGCCCAATTCAGGCTGTCTTATTTGCTTTGTACATGATTTGTTAAAATGACAACCCAGGATTCTGAGTTAGCCACACAGATGGTACATTAATTAGGCCTTTTAATTACTTAGATGCTTTCCTGCCTCTACGTTTTGTTACTATTATTTTCATTATTCCCTATCAAGCTCCAAGACCCTAGTAATACAGAAAGGGCCACTTTAAATACCATTTCCTCTAGGAGGCTTTTCCTGAAGCCCCTGACTGGGGCATCTGTTCTACCTCAAAGTTGTGATTTGCCTCTACAAATTATAAATTTTAAGACTGGAACTAATTTGCATATCTTTGTAGGCACCAAAGTAACTAAAACAATGCATGGCTCAAAAAATAATATTCACTTTTTAAACTGAACTCAAAATTTAAAGATCACAAGATATGCCACACTAATGACGTTTTTTTAATAAAAGAGTAAGAGGACGTGTTCAAACAGTATACAGGCTTGAGCTGTTCCAGTGGTGAGACAGCTTAGAAACACATTAAAATAAAAAATATTCTGTTCCTTAGACACTGAGTTCCTCTTTATCATATTGCTGCCTCTGCCACTCTTCTGGATCAATAACATTATCAATTACCACTTTTCATCCTGCACAAGATCTTTGGATCACACAATATCAGAGAACCCTATGGTACAAATAAGAACTGAAATACCTCAAGGGGCCTGGCAGGTAATCACTGGAGGAATAAAGTGGAACCGGTGGGACAAGAAAGCATGGGAGAGCTGTAAAAGACAAAGTGTTGTGCTTTCCAAAGCTCCCACTTCTCTGCTATCTTCACCACAAAACTCGGAAGAGATGGCTTTACTCCAGTCTCTCTTAAACCCTCAATCAATCAGGTTTTTATTTCACCAAAATTGCTCATGGAAATCTCTCACCACATCCATGTTACCAAGTCTGCAGGTTAATTTTCAGAACTGACCCTTTTGACCCAACAGTATTTGACTCAGTTGATCATTCCCAAATCCTGGAATGCTTCCTACCTCAAAGGTTACTTCTCTCAGTCTCCTTTGATGGATTTCTCTTGTCTGTCTGATCTCTACATGTGGTAGAGTTCCAGGGTTCAGTCTGTCTTCGATCTACAGTCATTCTCCTGGTGATCTCATTGACTCCTACAACTTTAAATGCCATCTGTCATCTCTTGGCTCCCAATTTCCACTTCCAACCCAACCTCCTCCCTAAACTCCACACTCGTAACTGGAAATACCATTTAACAGACATTCATCTTCAAAATGTCCAAAACAGAGTTCATGCTTTCACTCCAATCTGTTCTTTTTCTGCCACACTGTTTTCCTTGTTCCCAAGTACATATTCAGGAAGAGAAAAAATATTGATCCCTGACACCTCCCCCTTTTCTCACCCACCTATACAATCTTATCTGGAAATCCTTTAACATATATCAAGAACTGAACCACCTCCACTAGCCCTCCCAGTAAGCTCCTAATGTTCCCCACAACATCCCTATCCCCACCCTGCCTGCTTTCTTCTTAATACTCTAAGCAGAATGAAATCCAGATCTTACCCTTCTTCAACACAGTGTCTCCATCCTCTCCCATCTCATTCAGAGTGAAGTCTAGTGTCCTAGACATCCTACAAGGCTCATATGATCTGCACCTCTTACCTAACCTCCATCCATTTGGACCACTTTTGTTCCTGCCGTGGCATCATTAGCCTTGCCCCCGCATAGTTCTTTGAACACAGCAGATATGTTCCCATCTCAAAACTTTTGCATTTATTGTTGTCTTTCTTCCTAAAGTGTCCCTTCCCCAGATAATTTCATGGTTTTCTCCTCCATTTCCTTCATATCTCTCTCAAATTAGAGACTGTGAGGATTTCCTGCATTAGCTAGCACTCCACATCCTTACTCAACATAGTCGTTTTTCCACCTAGTCGTTCTGTTCCCTTTCTCTTTATTTCCATCAAAGCACTTACCACCCAAAATGCTATGTCTATTGACTTGTTTATTATCTGACACTCCCCATCAGAAATGAGAGAAACTCAAGGCAGGCACTTAACTTTATTCACTATTAGCCCTCAATAAATACTTTTGGAATGGAAGAAATTCAGAAACTTATAAACTCTGCATTTGCCAAGTAAAATAAATATAGCCCCTCAATACAAAGAAGAAAAATGAGGCTCATCTTGAGTAACAAGGCCTTAAAAGTTAACAAGTGGCAAAGTCAAGATTCAAATCCATGTCATTATGACTCCAAAGCCCTGAACTTTTTGTATCATATCTAGTTCCAAAAGTGAAAAGCAATGCTACATTATTCTATTTAGTGTAACAAATTACTTAACAACTTGGTAAGTTGGCCAATTATTTCAACTCAAATTAATTCTAATTTATTCTCTTGTTCAATTTCTAAAAATGGTAGTTAGCTTCCCAAATACTCACATATGATGAACAAATATTTAAGACAAAGAGTATACAGATTTTGTACATATGTGTATGTGTATACATATGTATTTCACTTCTTTGTAAAAGTGAACAAGTCTATATTATGGCTTTATGTTGTACTTTCTCTTTTTACCTGTGCAGCTAGTTATGTCCATCCCACCTAGTAATCCAACTAACATTTGCAAGAATATTTTTAGTGGGTCACTGGCGACCAATTCAAAGTCTTCACAGAACAAATGTAAAGTCACTAAAGAAGGTCCATATTCTTTTGTGATTTGAGGGGCTAAATATTTTGTATACAACTCCTCTCCTTACAAGGGTTTTTGCTATCATTCTTAGGCACTATGTTTCCCTAAATTGTCTAACATAAAAAGGGAAAAAAAATTGTAACTTGAACAAATTCAGATTCAATTTGATAAAGTTTAAGCATATAATTTTTAAACAAATCATAAAATATATAGTTGCACTTCTTCGAATTTTCACCCTAATAAGATCCCATGGTAAGTCACTAAAACATTCGACAAACCTACATTAATATCGTAATTATAACAATAAAATATTGCTAAATGATTTCCAGTTAAAAGTTTTTTGAAACTTTTTACCTGTACATGGTAATTTTAAATAGTTTAGTAAATTCCCCAGATGAAAATTGCATACTTAAATTTTTCTCTTACCCACTCTCCTAAAATGACAAATCTTTCCTCAGACAATAACTCAAAACATTAATGAAATATGAAGTCATCTAAAATGTTATAATAAAATAGCAAATGGAAAAAGGAATGCAATTAAAACAATGTAAGATGATGTTTAGTGTGTAAACTATACACATGATCAAAGGTATGAGCTGGAAGGAATGTGCCATAAGTAGATAATCTCTTCAAAACTTTGCTGAAGGATTGTTAATGACAAATTTTCTTTCCCATACTTTTTAAATCACATTCTAAAAGTCCATAACACTTGAAGAAAATCAGGTGCCTGCTTCCAGCACGCCTGGTAGAGAATGGTAGCTAAGCACAGGGGCTCAGGAGCCAGTGTCTGGGCTTGAGTCCTCACATGGGCATGGTAATTAAGCTCCCTGAGTCTCAGTTTCTGCAACCATAAAATGAGGTGACAAAAGCAACAGGTAGTATGGTGTGAGATATTCATGCCCAAGTCTTTTTTGCATTGACATTTTCTTTCATTTCTCTTACGTAAACACTTCAAGGTGGAATGGTTGTGTCATAGGGTATATATATAGGTTAATTTTCTGGGAAATTTCTAAACTCTCTTCTAAAGTGGTTGCATGACTTCTAATTACGAACAGCAGTGTAACTTTTAGTTTTTCTTCATCCTTATCTCTTGCTGTGGTCAGTCTGTGGTTCTAATCAACATCTCTCTAATGTCTAACGATGCTGTCTTTTTTGTGTGCTTATTTACCACTCATCTATCTTCTTTGATGAAGTGCCTACTCAAATCTATTGCTGAATTTTAATTGTGATTGCTAAAATAAGTATGAAATTGGCACAGAGAGACTAATGGATGAACAACACAGAACACAGTCCAGAAGTAGACCCCTACACATACAGTCAACAAAGGTGCAAGGCAGTGAAGTGGGGGAAGGACCATCTTCAACAAATGCCACTGGAACACCAGATACCCAGATATGGAACAATAGGTTTTGGTCATACCTTACTGCATATATAAAATAACTCTAAATGGACCACAGAGCTAAATGTAAAACCTGAAACTAAATGTTCCAGAACAAAGGAGAGAAATCTGTGATCCTTGGTGAGGCAACAGTTTGCTAGTTATACACCAAAACCACAATAATGAAAGAGTACACTTCATGAAGGGCAGAACTTCGAGAGTAAAAGCTTCTTATCCAATGACACTGTTGAACAGATGGAAGATGTAAATCACAAGCCCCATGAGAAAATATTTGCAAATCATGTATCTGGATGAAGAATTTGTACCCATAATGCTAAAGAACTCTGAGTTGAATTTTAAAGGACAAGTAAAAATTACTTAGGTATAAGGAGAGATGGAATTCCAAGGCAAGGTGGCAGAGTGAGCATATGCAACTGAGCAAGAACACCAGGG